AGGAGGTGGCAGGTGCTGCATGTGGCAATACTGCTAGAAACACTGTTATTGCTGCATCTGAGAAACAGTGTGAAACAACACGAGGTGGGTGTATCACACACGGAGCTGAAGTTTCCAATGATGGGCTTGGTAGCTGACCTGGCCTGAGACCCACAGGGGCCAAACCAGGTGGCAGATGGCCCAGGGGCAGCCCTCAGGTAGAGTGGTCCTGGGACAGGCTGTGGGAATATCATCTCTGGCTAAACCACCACCACCCATGGGCTTCACAGAACGAGTCTGGTCCATGACAGCAGGTTCTATAGGGCACAATCTCTGGACACTAAGCCCTGGGCTGCCCACCCCCTAGGCACTGTCCTGCAGGGCCAGCCCTGCCTCCTCCTGATACCCATGCCTACCCACCCTCCTGGCCTCAACAATGGACAGGGCAGCAGGGTGGCAGGAAGGTCAAGCAGTGGCAAGAATGGTCCTCGTGTGAGTATAAGTACCAGTCTATTTTCAATCCCCATCTCAAAAGGAATTCTGAAGCACTCAAATGCTTCAGATATTCTTAGCCTTGCTGCCTGAGAGCACCACGTACTGCCAGCCTTTCAAAGCAAATTTCATGCTTTTATCGACACCAGGCTGTTCACGTCACTTTGACACACAAATCACACTACCGAAGTAGCAACACACCAGAAAGGCTTCATAAAACGCAATAAACCTGAGGATGTCGACACTTTAAAAAAAGTGCTACGGAAATAATCTGAAATGGTTGCAATTAAGCTACTGTAGACGCAAGCAGAGCAGTACATATATTAGGGAGACCGACGTGTGAGTACAATCTGCCAGAGAATGTCTCCTCTCTGGGGAGGGGTGGGAGCAAGGCATCATCCTCCCAGGGAGTTGCCAAGTGGCTCCCTGAGCCCCCAGCCCAGGGGCAAGAGAGCACCTCACCTGGCCCCCCAGGCTAGTGTCCATGTTGGCCCCGTGACAGAGCAAGACCAGGAGGGCCGGCTCCCACAGGATGGCACTGGCTCCACACGATGGAAACCTCAGCGCACTGGGGCTCTGAGAGGTGGAGGGGTTACTGTGGTCCAAGTACCCAGGTCTCCTGATAGTTACCAGGCCCCTCTCTATGCCAGGCCCCTGCTGGGAGCTGGGTACAAAAGGAAGACCGAGGGCCCTGCCCTCACCGGGTCCATGGTCTGGTGGGGAGACACTGATGCCAACATCCCCTCCCTGATCCTGAGGAGCGAGAGCTGGAAGGGCCCCAGCACGACGACCAGGCTGAGCTGGCCAGGCATGGAGCAGGGAGCTGGGACCCTACATGGCCACACTTTGAGAAGTCCCTTCCCACTGGCCACACTCGGTCTGTGTGAGAGACCTCCAAGTGCCATCCCACCCCCCTTCTGGACCAGAAACCAAGACCACGGTCAAAGTGCCTTCTGGAACATTCTTTCTGTCAGAGACGCGCTGCTGTGTCCAATGCCAGCCCTGCTGATGGCTTCCCCATTGCTCTCGGGAATCGGGTTGTGGAGAAGGGTGTAGGTGAGGTGATGGGTAGACACAAGGGCCACCCCAAGCAAACCAGGCGTACAGCATGCAAAGCAGGGGCTGTCCTCAGGGGCTGCAGCCAGAGAGCACCGAGTGCTGGTGACAGGAGGCAAGATGCAGAGCCAGGTGTCTGCCCTGCTGCATCCCCCAGGGAGGGGGCTGCTGTGCCCTCACATTCCCGGGGTCCCCTCTCATGGACAGCTCTCGCGGACTTTCTATTGCGTTTTCTCACACTTCACCTCCCTCAAAGCCAGTCCCACCACCTTCCCACTACCATCCATCCCAGCCACTTTTCTGTGGCCCCCACCCTCTCACTACCAGCCAGCCTCCTTGCCAGGTTCCCTACACCACTTCTTGCACCAACCTCCCTGAGACCAGCAGCTTTCCTCGGCATCCTCACTGCTTGCTGCAGAGCCTCGTGACCCCAGAACACACTTTTGCCCCAGGGTCACATCTACGAGAGCTTAGCCACCACGTGCTGGGACTCAGCACTGGCTTGCTTCTTCCCCTCTCTCTCTAAGGAAAAGGTGGGTTTTCTTCCCTTAAGGTCCTTCTGCCAGCCAGATGCCCTTAAAATCGGAGCATGCTCGCGGAGCTGAGCAGATCAGAGGCAGTATTCCTACCGCCCATCCCCCTGCCCCCTCCTTGCTCTCTCCTACTGTGGCTCCCAAGGGGCCCTGGGATGATCATTTGGGTTCTAAAAAGGTGGAGTCTAAAAAGGATAAAAAGAACCTAGGAAATTTCCACCTCCGTGCTGGGAGATAACGGTCCATGGGGGAAGGGCAGGGGTGCCATCTAGTGGCCCTGAGGGGAGCTGCACACAACCGAACTGGGACAGGGAGGACAGAGGACAGTCACTCAGATACGTGGCCAAGTCACTGGCCAACACCATGAAGTATCATCCAGGCCAGTGGTCAGCAAACTGCGGCTCAGCAAACCGCAGCTCACGAGGCACATGCGGCTCTTTGCCCCTTGAGTGTGGCTCTGCTCTTTATTCATTTATCAATTGAATACCAAAGAGCCGCATGTGGCTCGCGAGCCGCGGTTTGCCGACCACGGATCCAGGCCATTGAGCAGGCCCAGCACACACACACACACCACACTCACATACATATACGTACACAAAAACACTTCAACTATAGAAACACACACATATACATAAACACACATACACATATACTCACACATACATATACATATATTCACATACATACAAGCACACATGTACACACTCAGACACTCAGGCGTACACACAAACATGCAACACAGCCTGTGGATCTGCACAGGGAGTCGGAGGGCTGCTCGTGGGCACTCAGCCTGCACGGCCCACGGAGAGCATGCTGACTGCTGAGAGGCGGCAGGCAGATCCCCCAGGTGAGGGGCAGGTCCACTCACACCACAAGCTGCACTCCCAGGCCCCGCCCTCCTGCCTGCAGGTGTGGACTTGGGGCAGAGCGTGGCCCCCTCTCCTCCAGGCCTGAGCTGGGGCCTCTGTGGAGTCACAGCCTAGCCTTGCCATGGAGAGAGGAGGGGACAAGGTGGCTACACGGCCACTGGGACCTCCTGGACAGCAATGGGACAGTGCCACTGACCAGGAAGCATTTCTGCCCGAGTGCTCAGAATCACGCTGGGGGGTGTGAGATTCAGGTCTTATGAAAAGGGCATCACCAACTCACCAATCCCTTCCAAATTCACCCCTAAAAGGTAAATACCACTCAACCTGGAGGCTTTGATGACCAAGGGCTAATGCAAAGCCAACGCACACCACCCAAGGAGAGAAGTGGGCTGAAAACAAGCCCTGGAACGGTAACAGGATCTCCCACACACGCAGAGTAGCACAGTTCAAAGGCCAGAGGCCCAGGGCTGGCAGGATAATGGCCCCAAAGACATCCCAGTCCTAGTCCTGGGACCTGTGGACATGGCACCTCATATGGCAAAAGACACTTTTCAGATAGATTAAGGACGCTGGATACCCCTGGGGGCATGGGGAGGAGGGACCAGGGTCATCACAGGGTCCTTATAAGAGGGAGGCAGGAGGGTCAGAGTCAGAGGTGGAAGAGGCTGCGCTATTGGCTGTGAAGATGGAAGAAAGGGCCACAAACCCAGAATACGGCTCCTCTAGAAGCTGGAAAGGCCGGGTTTTCCCATAGAGCCTCCAAAAGAAAAAGCCCAGCCCACACCTGTGAGACTCCTGACAGAACATGACAGAATAAATGTGTGTGTGCTAAGGCTTGTGGTGATTTGTCACAGTAGCCCTGGGACACTCCTACAAATGCCCCCACCACGTCCGTGTCCAATGCTTCTCTATCTTGCTCTGCCTGTCTGAGAGGAAACGGCTTTGTTCACATGAGAGGTGAGGAGAGCATGGTCATACAGCCAAAGGAAGAAGAGGGGGGCCTGGTTTCCCACCCAAAATCTCCTGCTGGCTCCTGAGTCCTCTGCTCAGAACTCCTGATCCTGCCCCACTCAGCAAAGGGCCCCAGGAGGTCCAAGCAACTTAAAGGAGTTGAGGTGCCTATGGGTAGAGGCTCAGTCAAGGTAAGGGGTGCCTTGGCCAGGGTCTGCTGCCTGTGTCCCCAGCTGCCTGTGTCCCCCTGCCCCTGCCCCCCACTGCCCCGAGCCAGCTTGTTTGAGGTCTGGAGTGCCACAATCTGCTCCCGGGCCTCCCCTACCATCCCTCTGAGCTTCGCTGATTATTGTGACAACAGGGGCAGGGAGATGCAAAGCCCCAGCTAAGGAGTCTCCGCTGGAAACAGCCGTGAACAAACAGAAGGCAGCTGCCTCCGGGCCTGCCAGCAGAAGCTGGATGTGAGGTGAGTGTTAGCTCAGAGATTCCAGAACACAGAGCACACTGCACATATGCCCCAGCCTGCAGAGCCCAGCACTCACAGAGTGGCCTTTGGGACAGCTCACCCACCCCTGCTCAGCACCTGCACACTAGTGGGGACCCCAGGCAGCAGGGGCCTACTGGGAACCTCACCCCTCAAACTGAAGGCCAAGAGGAAGGCAAGGGAGGCTCAGTGCTCAAGGCTACCCTGTCCCCAGGCCTGTGGCCCCAGGAGAGCCCCAGTACAACAGCCCCACACCTGACTCGGCCTGGGGAGGTGCTGAGGGAGCTCAGAACCAGCCGCTGCTCAGTGGGAAGCTCTCTAGGCCCAAACGCCAAACTCCACAAATCAGGAAGCTCATTTCTAGGGGCACGTATACCTCATCCCCAAACTAATGAGTAAACTGAGGCTGTCATGAAGCCAGTGGGAGCAGACAGAGCCAGAAGATCCTGAGCTACCAGAGCTCCAAACCTGGCCCACCCTCCCTAATAGCCCTGGCCACAGGGAGCCACACAGAAGGCACCCATGCCTGCCTGACCAGGAGGAGCCTATCCACCTGCCCTCCCTCGCCCTTTGCCCTGTTGGCAGCGGAGACCTTCTGCCCTGTGGAGCAAGTCAGGCCGCTGGCTGGACACTCACCATGACTTGGGCTCCCCAAAGTGCAGGTAGTTGATGCTGTACAGGTCCATGTCCTCCGTGTGCCAGGCGAAGGTGGTCTTCCACATGCCGAAGTACAGGTAGGGGGTGTTGACACCCTCAATGATGGTGCCGCACTCACGTTCCACCATGTCCAGGATGGTCCGAAGGTTCCCGATGTTCCACTGGGCCACGTCCTGTGGGGCAGCAGGAACACAGTCAGTGGGCTGGCCAACCCTGGGTACCCAGGCCCCACCAGCCCCAGACACTAGTGGGAGGACAGGAAGTGTCCTTCCCTCTGAGCCGCCTGCTACAGTGTGACCCCCATGAGGGCCCAAGAGCCCTGTTGTCAGCTCCAAACCTGCCTGCCCACTTCAGAGCCTCACCCACCCCAGTATCCAAAACCCATCCTGGGCTGCTCATACCCTGCAGATGCCGACTGACTGCCCTGTGCTATGCAGTTGGGCAGAGCTTTCTCTAGACTCCACGTTGAGGTATGTGTTCATCTCAGCAGTAAAGACCTCAGTTTGGTCATGAGTAACTAGTGTGCCTCAAAGTCAATGACACAGAAGGAGGTAGACAACTGCCAAGTGGGACTAGACCAGTGAAGGTGCCAGATAGCCCTTCTGACCTCCGCATGGAGGAGATGGAGATGGTTCTCAGAACCAAGCAAACAAGGCTGGAATCCTCACCTACCAGTCTCATCTATTCCTAATGCCACAAGCAAGCAAACTGCATCCTGTCATAAGAGTTCACAAAATATGCTTTAATCAACTTCCTTTCCCTAGAGAACCCTTCAAGCCTGTTGAGATGTGAGTGAACATCAGCCTTCTTTCTGCCCCAATCCACCCTGTACCACCCACTCCTGTCCACATTACAGGCCCTTGATTTGGTGAGATTAGTGGCTGATTTTTGTAAGGTGAGTCCTGGCAGAAGCCCAGGACATGGGGGGCGGGAGGGAGACTGACCAGACCCCTCAGTATAAGAAAGAAAAGCCCAAGGTCGCCTTGAATAGAAGCTTCCCAAGGTCAGGGCACATCAAAAAGAGGTCGCTTCCCTAAGCTTTGTCCAATTCACCTCACTATCCAGCCCACACATCCACAATGCAGCCACAGGCGGGGGACCTGGGATCTAGTCTAAGCCAGGCAATAACTCATCGTGTGGCCAGGGCAAGTCATTTCTCTGCTTGAGCCTAAGTTTTCACGTCTGTAAAAGGAGACTGTTGCACTAGATCAGGCACGGGGAACACAGGGCCCCAAAGCCTCTTCAGGAACCTAAGGCAGGCGTTGCTCACGATCTCAGCATTGGCCCCGCCAAGCCTCACTGGGCAGCAGGGTCCTTCACGGGGCCATCACTATGACCAACTGCAGGCAGCACAGAAGAGCAAACCCAGAGGCTCTCCCTAGACAAGGCTCTAATTTTTTTTTTAATTTTTGAATTATTTGAAAACAATGCAGAGTCTTCAACAGAATGAGAAGACAAGCCCCAGACTAGGAGAAAATATTTGCAAAAGAACTCTTGAAACTCAATAAGAAAATAAACAATCCACTTAAAAAATTAGTCAAAGACCTGAACCTCACCAAGTAAGATACACTGATGACAAATAAGCACATGAAAAGATGCTCCATATCATATGTCACCAGGGAAATGCAAATTAAAACCACAATGAGCTACGATTACACACCTATCAGAATGGCCAAAATTCGGAACACTGACACCACTAAATGCTGACGAGGATGTGGAGCAATAGGTACTCTCACTTATTGCTGGTGGAATGCAACATGGCGCAACCACTCTGGGCAAAAAGAAATGCTGGCCAACAATTCATGTGGGGACCCACGCAGTAGTCCTGATTTTTCCAATACCTTTTGGGAGTTAAAAGCCCCGCCTGTTCTAACAGGCTCCTCTCTGAGCATCCAGGAGAGTCCCCACTCATTCCCAGGAGGAGATGGTATTCCCACCCAACTCTAGTCCCACCCAAGACCAGAACTCAGGTGGTGCCCACCAGCTGCTCTCATGGTAAACAGGGGCTGAGTGAATGGAAGAGACTATCCTGGTAAGAAATGACCTTCAGAGTGACAACGTGGAGTGAGGGGCACATATGGAAACCAAGAGGACAACCTAGGGAGTGGAAAAGACCATATTTTAGCCCAGGGTACCCCATACAGAACACCCCCAGGAAAGAGCTAGGCTCAGTAACTCTGAAATTAACCAGGGTTATCTGAGGTCCCATAAATATTAATAAACTATCCCATAAAAAAAGGGCCCCACTCAACCTCCCTCTGCTTAACACCAGCACCTCTCTGGGCCTCTGGTCACAGTCACCAGCACCTGGTCTAAGTCCTTGGACAGGCCAAGGACAGGCCCCTCTCTGTTGCCTGGGTGTCCCCAAAGCCCCCCAGCCCAGCACAGGGACCAGAAATAAGTGAACCCATGGCAGCTTGGCCAGCTGAGAACCTGGGGTTCCCAGGATCAGAGCCATCAGAACTCTGCAACTCAGTAGGAAAGATTTTGCAAGTCAGAAAACCACGGGATCCCTTCATCATTCATTCTAAGACCAGGCACGTAGTTGTAACTGGAGCCCAAACAGAAAGCCCAGCTAAGTTTGTGTCATTTTAACTTCCATTTTCAATTCCATTTCCATTCACATTCCTTCACCTCCACCATGGAAACCGAGTCCCTCATTTTCCCAAGAACCTCTTGGTATCCAGAACTTACATCATCGTACAAGGAGCCACTGATGTCGGCACCATAAATGGGAGAGACGAAGGTGAGGTTCTTCCAGTACTTGCGTTCCAGGTCGTCGAAGTCTTGGTGCCGAGGAGTGCAGTATCTGTGAGCAAACAGCACACCAAAAAGGGGGTCTCAGAGCATGTGCCTGATCTCACAGCTGAACCAGACCCAGGGCATCTGCCGGACACACTGAGAGAGGCTCTGCCCAGATCACCCACTGTCCCCACCACAGGGCACATACCCAGAAAACATAAATGTGGTCCCATTGCTACTGGGACAGCATTTATTCCAGGGTGTGTGTATAAGATGGGCAGGTGGCCCTGCCTGGAATAATGCCCACTTATCCCACCTCATCAGCTAGCTGGGCCTGTGGTATCCAAGTCACAACGCACACCAGGGGCAGCTGGAGCAGGTGGATGGGCCTGGCTCTGGCGGTTCTCATCATCCCACTGCTCAGCACATACTAAGAGTACTGATTACGGGCCAGGCGCTGTCCTGGGCACCAGGGCCATTGCATGAGTGGGCAGACAACACCCTGCCTTCACAGTACACTTATGTCGGAGAGCAAAGGTACTGCTGGAAATGCACAATTTTAGAAAGCCAGGAATCTGGGAGTAACAGAGAACAGGAAGGAGAAAACAGCAGTGGTATGCTCGTGAGTGCACCGTGTATGCACTGGGAATGCCCACGAGTGTACCCATGAGCACACAGAATGTGCATGAGTGTGCCCATGTGTGCGCCATGTTGAAGGAAGCAACATGCAGGAATGCATGCTAGAGAGCCCCTCTCTGAGGAGGCGCCATCAGAACTGAGACATTATGGGAGGGTATAAAGGATGCACTCCAGGGACAGGGAACAGGTTGAACCCCAAGGAGCAGCCCTCAGTAGTGGCTACTGAAGGTAGGGTGAGGTGGACAGGTGGCTGTGGGTTGGTGAGGGTCTGGATTTTGCCCTCTTTGAACAGGGGGGGGTCTCTGAGCACGAGATGTTGAGATCCACCCAGTGCACCCAGAGCAGATGGCATGCGTTTTGTAGAGGGCTGCGTGTGCCCTACAATCTCTGCATCCCAAAGCCCGCAGTGGACTGGGCTTTGCAGATCAGGGGGGTAGAGGCCTTTAACATGTGGCTCCACCTCGGAGCTAAGGTTTCAGGGTTCTGCCCTGCACCGGCCAGGGTCCCGGCTGCATACTTCTCGCTGTTGGCCAGGCGGCGGTACTCCCCGACCGTCATGGCCTTCTTCTGGATGTTGTACTGTGTGAAGAGGCCTGACTGGCCCGTCACCACCTGCTGGATGGGGGCTGGGATGACCACGTCATCGATGTCATCGTACGTCTGCCGTGGCTTCCACTCCTTCGGGGGAATGATCTGCGAGACCAAGGAGGAAGTCAGCGATGCCTCCAGACAGGCACATCCACTCAGGACAGGGGAACGATCAGAGACCCACTCCCCACTCCTGGGAGACCAGCAGCCACTACCTGGGAAGCACACCTGGGACTTCCCCACAGGGGCACCAGGAACCATCTGTGCTTTTATCAAGCACCCAAGTGATCTGGTGCCAGAAACATGGACACCACCAGCTGCATTTGAAGTCCTTTTAAAACCTTTATCACTGGAGGGCAGGGCCATTTTGCCCTCTAGCTTTGGAAAGGAGCAAGGCTATGCCAGACACATGTTCTAGGAATCCCCTTCATTAACACCTACTAGGGAGTAATTACGGTTCTAGGTGCTGGGGAGGGGAAACATGGGAAAACAAAGAGCCACGAGGGCCTTACATTCCACGAAGAGGGCAGATGATAAATACCTTTAAGGTGTGGCTCCACCTCAGAGCCGGGTTTCAGGGGGCCACCCACAGAGTTAAGGAAACTGTGGGAAGGTAACCAGTTGTAAGTACTAAGGATATAAAATAAAGAAGGGCTGGGTAAGAAGCCCAGAGGCAGAGGGAAGGGTGACAATTCTAAGTGGGAGGAGACCTCAGAAGGTTGCCTTTGAGAAAAGGCACAGCTATTTCATGGGAGCAAATCCAATGGCAACCAACCACCAGGCCTTGACTGTGAGCTGATGGCAGCTCTCCTGCCCCGGCCCTCCCTGCCTTTCTCCACAAGGGGACACTAGGAGCAGCACGAAGGGCTTAGTGTCAGGGGCACTGTGCCGGGCTTGCTTGGGCTCAGAAATCCACTCTTGGCCCCTTCACCTTCCTGGTCAGGGGCAACCTCTGGGCTGGACCAAGGGCCTCCTGAGCATTAGGCACCCTTCTGGGCCCCACAGGGCGAAATGGGACTAGTGCCTCCAGTCCTGGGTGGTTGTTTGCAAGCCTCAAGGCCCCTTTCAGGGTGCCCAGCAGGCCACCTAACAGCTTTGGGAAAAGGAACTAATTCAACCTATTTTGTTGTTTTTTTAATATTTTTATTGATTTCAGAGAGGAAGGGAGAAGGGAAGAGAGATAGAAACATCAATGATGAGGGAGAATCATTGATCCGCTGCCTCCTGCAAGCCTAACCGGGACCAAGCCCGCAACTCGGGCATATGCTCTGATTGGGAATCGAATGGTGACCTCCTGGTTCAGAGGTCAACGCTCAACCACTGAGCCATGCTGGCGGGGCTAACCCAACCTGTTTCCAGAGCATCAGCCATGGACTCTAAAGAGGCTGAACCCTCACCCTACTCGGGGCCAATGAGGGAAGAACACCGCGCTGATGCCCAAGTTTGCAGACAGCTTCCAAAAGGGATGAAATCCCTTTACCATCCCCAAGGACTCCACAATCCCACCTATGACACCAGTGAAAGAAATGTTTTGCTTGGCACTCATTCTCCAGTTGCCAGTTAACAACAGAAAGGTGCTGCATCCCCTATCAGCACACAGTTTATTTATAAAATTCAAATGACAACAGAGGAAGTCAGTGGGTCTCCCTGGAGCAACCCTGCCCCGAGGGGACAGTGAGTGATGTCTAGGGACATCTGAGGTTGTCATGATTGTGGGTGCTCTTGGCATCGAGTAGGTGCTCAGCACCCCCTGCAGTGGCCAGGATGGCCCTCCACAGATACCCGACCCAGATATCAGCAGTGCCAAGGCTGGGACCCTAATAAGAGTTTAATGAGGATGAGGACACAACCTTTCAGTGAAGGCTCTTTTTGGGGACGTCTTCTCTCTTACTCTGTCAACTGCGGCCTCAACGCAACAGGCACCTAGAATACCCGCCTGTTTCTGGTGCGAGGCCATGTGACAAAAGGGGACTGGTTGGGGTCAGCCTGCCAGCAGAAGGTTTTCTTAGATTTCTGGTGAGAAATCTGAAGATTCGGATGCTAAACTAAAACATTCAAGACTGGAAAACAAAAGAAATAAATAAAAGGGGCTATGCCTCCAGGATCCAAGACGTTCTTCTGTGAGGAAGGATCCATGACCCTGAGCTGCTTTTTAGTTATGTTACTGATGTCTCCTTTTGACAGAAAACCCAAACCTCTTTCAGGAAAGTGCCATGAGCCTTCACAGGCTCCGGCCCCACTTCAGTTCTATTAGAAGTCCATCCTAGTCCCAGTCTGGGGCAAAATGAACTAAGTATGTCACTCCCAAATTTCCCACCTTCAAACAAGAGCCTGAGGCTACTTTGTTCATTTATGCCACCCCTCACACACTGCTGTGTGAAGACATCTGACAACAAGGAGGGACCCTCACACACACGTGCGATGCCTGGTTTGCATACATGTAACCACTCCTTCCTGGACACATTCTAAGCAGGTTTTGAAAAACTGCTTGAAAGGAGGGCCACTTCCAGTTGGTCTGGAAACTGGAGCTTCTGGAAAAATCCCTTCTGGCCTAATACCCTCACACCACTACAAAATCAGATTTAAAAGGAGGATCCCGCCCTGGCTGGTTTGGCTCAGTGGATAGAGTGTCAGCCTGTGGACTAAAGGGTTCTAGGTTCAATTCCTGTCAAGGACACATGCCCAGGTTGTGGGCTCGACCCCCAGTAGGGGGCATGCAGGAGGCAGCCAATCAATGATTCTCTCTCATCATTGATGTTTCTATCTCTTTCTCCCTCACCCTTCCTCTCTGAAATCAATAAAAATATATTTTAAAAAATAAAATAAAATAAAAGGAGATCCCAGGCAAAGGACATCTGAAGAATGTCACCTAAAGAACTTCCAGCATTCTGATTGGCCCCACTCGGCACCTGGTGCCCCTGCCTGGTATAGCCCTGGACTGACCCTTGCTCAAAGCTCCTGGAGAGCAAGTTCAGCCAGAGTAAGGCCACACACTTCAAATGAATGAGGGGACACTGGGCAAATGGCCTAGGTGCGAGTTGTATGGCAAAGCTAGGAGTCTGTGCGGTTGGGGTAGTAGGTGTGGGGAACACTGCAAGAGGGAAGAGTGAGGGGCAAACCTTTGTCCCCCCCTCCCCAAAAAAAACCACCTGGTCCCAAAGCCACTCTTCATGGGGCAGGCCTGGCAGCTGAGAGCAACCAGGGCATTGTCTACCTTCAGGACTGTCCTCAGGGATGCACCTGGGCACCAGAGCACCTTGACCCCTCCCATAGGACCCTACACTGTCCCATTGCCCCACCACCCTTCCCTGGCTCCTCCTGCCCCCGAGCTTCCCAAGCAGCCTAGGGAGGCTACCAGCCCTGGTCTGTGGGAGGCAGGGACCCACTGGGCACGGGCCTCAGAGTATATGCAGAGTGGCTGAGGAATATGACTGGGCTGCCTGATGGCCCCAGAGTGGGGTTCCCACACACCCACAGCCGATTCTAGCCACGGCCCTGACTGTACCTGTGCCTGCTGAACACCCACTCCCACCCAGCTCTACTGAGCCTCACAGAGCTTTTGAGGAGGGGACCAAATACAGCTTTTATGAAAGAAGGAAACCCCTACACACACGTGTGCACACATACACATATGCACACACATGCACATACACACAGAGAAGAGCAATCAAGGCTGATGAGACCAGGGTAGGGGGACATCCATGTCAGGCCAGCAGGGCATCATATCCCTTCTCCATAGAGACCAGCAGCCTGAGAGCCAAGGATCCACCTTTGAAAAAAATGGGAGGTGCCCAGGGACAAAGCCCCTGCTTCCTTGGATCCATCTGTCCCCAGAGTGGCAGGGAGGCCACTGAGGGACTAGAGGCACCACACCCTGTCCCTGCTAGATGGAAGAAGGGACACATGTGCACACGTGTGTCGCTGTGACCCTAATCACCAGAACCCGTGCCTGCACCCCCAGACTGCTTCCCCCTCAGCTGGATTTAGAAAGAATTCCCGCATCCAAAGGTGACTATCAGAGAGGAAGTGGCAAATAAAACACCACTTAAGAGAGAAAAGGGACATGCAAAACAAAAGGCAGAAGGAAAATATACCCTGAAAATATCTGCCTCACAAAATCCCCAGTCCGAATAGTTTCCCACCGATCCAAATAAATTAGCAAAAAATCGGTCCACTGGAATTAACAGCCTAAACAGAGGCATCTGGGTTCAAAGGCATCTGAGACAGTGAAGGAGAGGAAGAGGGGGAGAGAGAAGGTAATGGTGTGGATCACACAGAGGTGAAGGAAGGGTGACAGAAATGACGGCGGTGAAAGGATAGCAGAAGAGTGTCGGGTGGGATTTAAAGGTACTTCCAACAGAACAGTACAAGTTTCCTGACATAATAGATGATGTGAATCCAAAGGCAGGTAGATGGGCTGGATGTGAACTAGAAGTGAAACAAGGTGACAGCAGATAAAGGAAGGGACCCCCACGCCCCACCCCCACAGGCACCAGGACTCCGTTGGCCTCAGAATCTCCCCCCCACTGGGGGCCTGCAACAGGAGGGGTGGCAGGAAAGTTTCACCTGACAATGGACACCAGACTGTGGACTGGTGGGCGGCAAAAAAGCCCCAAATGAACGCTTCTGAACTTGCTAGAACCCCAGGCACTGCGTTTCCAGAGCCCTTCTCTCAGGAGATGAGAAACTGCAGGCGAGTAAGACACAGACGGTGAGCACTGAAGCCATATAAAGGGAGAATTGAAGTTAAAATGGCAATGGCAGCCATGGTTCCCAAACGAGATAAAGTACTCTGTGTTGTCTATATTATCAGGTATAATATGACTAAAAATCCTGAGGGGAGGGGAGGGAAAGGTGCTGCAGGCACACTGCTCTCCTTTCTCCTGAGGCTGAGGTTGAAGGTATGGGTGTCACCAGGACCAGAACTGGTATTAGTAACAAAACCAACCAAAAACAGGGGTAAGGGAGGAGGAGGTAGCGAACCGCAGTCTGTGGTACAAATCTCACCAGCTGTCCGCTTTTGTACAGACTGTGAGCTAAGAATGTGTTGCTTTGTTTGGTGTATTTTTATTGCTGTTGTTTTTCTTTCGTAGATGGTTGGGGAAATATTTTAAAAGAAGAAGATTTCGGGACAAGTAAAAGTTCTGTGAAATTCACATTTCAGTGTCCATAAATAAAGTTTTACTCATGCACAGCACGCCCGTTGGTTCATGGCTCATCTAAGGCAGCAGAACTAAGTGGTGTAGACAGAAACTATCGGCTGGCAAAGCTGAAAAAATACTATCAGGCTCTTTGTAGAAAATGTTTACCAACCTCCTGATTTAAGGAATAGACAACTAGGAATCTTAGATAAAGTGATACTCATCCAGGAAGCAACTAGTAGAACCCTAAGCAAACATGTTACAAACCTTCCCCATCATTAGGTGAGTAATGCCACACACAGGTTCACATGAACATGAAAAACACAGCCATACCCTGGCCGGATGGCTCAGTTGGTTGGAGTGTCATCCCATACACCGAAAGGCAGCTGGTTTCATTCACAGTCAGGGCACATATCTAGGTTGCCAGTTCGATCCCTGGTCTGGGGTAATAAGGGAAACAACCGACCAACTTTTTTCTCTTACACTGATGTTTCTCTCTGTCTCCCTTCCCCTTCTACTCTGTCTAAAATCAGTAAAAACATATTCTCCAATGAGGACTTGGAAGGAAGGAAGGAAGGAAGGAAGGAAGGAAGGAAGGAAGGAAGGAAGGAAGGAAGGAAGGAAGGAAAAGCCATTTATATTAACACATTGTTTGTGGGTAGTTTTTATCGCACGCTAACAGGTGGCGCGGGCCATTTTTGCTAATTTTTTGCGCAAATGGCAATGTTCAGTAAAATTATGATAACTTTAGTTTACGTATTTATACGTTACCCGCATTCTACCGCTAGTCCATAAAAAACGTATTAATACGTGTCCCGCGCTCTACTACACTGGTAGAACGTATAAATACATAAAACGTGTAAACACGTTTCCCGCATACAATGTGTTAAAAAGAGACACAGGCCCTGGCCGGTGTGCTCAGTGGTTAGAATTTTGGCCTGAGTACCAAAGGGTCATGGGTTCGATTCCTGGTCATGGGCATGTACCTGTGTTGCAGGTTCCATCCCCAGCCCCAGTTGGGGCCCATGTGGGAAAAAACCAATGTGTCTCTTACATCGATGTTTCTCTCTCTCTCTCTCTCTCTCTCTCTCTCCTCTCTCTCTCAGCCCTCTCCCAATCCTTCCACCTTTCCACTCTCTCCTAAAAACAATCAATGGAAAAAATATCCTCGGGTAAAGATTCACACACACACACACACGCACACACACACACACAAAGGAAAAAGAGAGACACAGGATGAGCTTGTGTGTCTGTCTGCTTTCACACATGCACACCTATGTGTATAATATGCCAAGGAGGGAGACAGGATGGTAACCATGTTGCTTCCAGGGATAGGAGCTGGGAGATGGAAGGAAGAAGAGACTCATTCATCACTCTCTGCCCTCTTGCACTGTTTGAATTTGCCTCCCCTGTGTATACTATCTCCAAAAAAGCAACAATAAAAACACACCTTGTTTCACTAAGAATATAAAGGCAAAACCTCAGGCCTTCCTGGCATCAACTGCCTGGAAGCCTCCCCAGACTCTAGACCTCCTTCTCCCCGAGTGGGGTGAGACTTGCTGCCATGATGCCCTGGTGGCCACTGCCCGCTGGGCTGGGCTCAGCACAGTGCTGTCTCTGCCCCAGCCTGCCAACCCCTGCAGGGACAGGGGCGGTGTGAGTTGATTATGAATTCCAGTGCTTAGAACAGTGTCTGGCACAGGGAAAGAACTCTGTCCTGTTTGTAATAAATGAGGTCAAAACGGGTCAGTGAACAGGTTAATGGGTGCAACACCTTTGGACATGGACACACACAGAGAAGCTGCGCGGGACTAGGATGTCTGTCACCCACCTTGGCCAGGCCTGCCCGGTGGGCTCCCTGGGACTCGATGTAGGCCACGTATTTGTTGAAGTCCTTAAATTCTTCCATAGTTGGGCGAAATGTCATGATTTTACAACTGGGGTTCTGGGCCCCATGATCCTCAGACCCCATGGTTGCAGCTGAGACACCGCCACACCTGTGAGGGAAGACAGAAGAGCGTGAGCAGGCGGTGCTGCCACCAGCAGGTGCCCTGCTCCATAGACCACACTAAAAGTACCCGGGGCCCCAGGAAGCAATGCGGGGCAGAGAGGAGACTGCCTTGCTCTGCTCTGGCACGAAAGACCAAGATGACTTCAACTAATTAAAAACAGAGGTGTCCTAGTTCCAAAAGCCAACGTGATACTGGAAGCCAGAGCACTAATTTTAAGCTGGGGGCCTAGGAAATAAAAGCTTTTCGTTTCAGGGACTCAAATCAATGTATGTCCTTTGGAGCTGGACATGCAGAGACATCGGATCACGTGACAGGTTCTGCAAGGTAAGTGAGGTTGTGTGTGAGTCTGCCTTCTTTTGAGGCACCAGCCTGCAAGCAGGGGAACCACAACTCCAGGCAGGGCCCACCCCGAGCAATATGTGGGTCGCTCCAGGACTGGCCTGGCTGCTGTCAGTGAACCCAGGCCCAGGGACCCATGGGAAGCCCCAGGCAGGAACCAGAGGGTAGAAGGCCGGCCAGAACGGCTCCTTGCCTGCAATCAGAGGCTCCAAGGCACCCTCAGTCATAACCATGCCTGGACATTTTGGCACAGAGGGGAGACTGTGCTATGTCATGCACTCTAAGATTCACGGCAGGCGCCTGAAGATAACTGGGAACCAGAGCTCCTCTCGGGGAGAAGGGTGCAGACTGGAATGGCCCCCTCCTGTCTCTGGAGTTAAGGGGACCCAGTGTGGTTGTCGGTGGCCCACCCTGAGCAGGAAGAGGCTCAGTGACAGATTCTGGGAAGGGTCCCTGCTGGCCGATTAAATTCTCCAGGTTCAAAAGACTAGACTCCCACCAGGATTTGGAAAAAGTCAGAATCCAAGTACACACAGACCTGAGAACTTCGAAAACAATTTAACCAAGTTCACCTCACCCCACCCCAAAGTGAGCTGGGGAATGAGAAACCCAAGAAGCCCAGTGGTCCCAGAAAGGGGCGGGGGAGGGGTAACAAGATGCTTCCAAAAGGTGATGCCTGCAGAGGGCACTAGAGGGCAGCACAAACCCAGGATTTGCCACTGAGGAAGTCATTTTCCCCTGGGAGAGATCTGGAGGCCCCAGGCTCACAGGTACCCTGTTCTGGCCTTGCCCCTAACACCCCATCCCATACCTGGGACACATGAGGTTGGGGCCAGGGGGACAGCAGCTAAAGCCCCCCTCTGAGGGCCAGACTCGCGCTGGATTGCTGGCGAGGGCCCCGGAGAATCCTGACATAAGGGTGGGGGTGAGGGCGGGGAGATGTCACTGCTTCACTGCTGCATCCAGGCTGGGACCCACCATGACCCTGTGACCACAACAAGTCTCAAGTTTTCTCGAGGGGCAGCCACAAAGCTGAAGTGTGCATGGCAGGTCACGAGCCTGTGACGTCTGACAGTAGCTCTGGGAGGGATCACACAGAACCACCAAGAACACACGGTTCATAAAAGGAGAGGGGTTGTCACAATCCCTCCTAGGGAGCAGCAGGCACCAGAAAGTCCCAGCCTCAGCCAGGCTGCCCCTCTGGAGCCCTGACCAGTCTTTAAGACTGACCACCATGTCATGCCAATGGCCCCTTGCCTGCAGCCAGGAGCCAGGACCTGAATCCCCACCTGGGACCCCCACCCACCCCACCTGAGCCCCAAGCCTACCTGCCCTCTCCCCTCCAGCCCAGATGCAGCCACACAGGGCTCACTGTGGGCCTTCACTGCACAGAGGCAGACAGGACAGCACATCTGGCCTGGGGAGACAGATCCTGACCCCAATACTATTGTGCACATCAGTGTGGTTCTGAGCTGTGCTAACGGCTATGGTGGGAGAACAAGGAAGGGCGGGAGAGGGCTCCATGGGCCAGGACCTCAAATGAGACACCAAAACAGGAGAGCTAGCTGGCCTTCCTCACGTTCCCACCATCCTAGCCACCCATTCCTGTCCATCCCACGTCAACATCCCTCGAGATTTTCCACACCCACTGGGGAGGTCAAGGCCTCCGCCTGTACAGAGCAATAGGCCACCCACCTATACCACATGGACAATCTGATTCATCCTCGGAGGCCTGCTGCCTGACATGATTGACCCGCCTCAGCCCCTGGTCCAAAGCCCTCGATGGCCAGGCAAAAGTCCAGAAGCTGGTTCCTCAGTCTGCCATGGCCACCTGCGCCCAGATCTGGAGGCAGTGAACAAATCAGCACTTCAGAGGCCCTCAACCCTGTTCTATGCATTTCACACGGGTGACTTGTCCACTCTACACAATGAGCCCATTTTTCATAGTTCACTGAGGACACAGGACCCCAGGAAGGGAGGTCACATGCCTAAGCCACTTGGCAAGTAGGTGGTAGGGCCAGATGCCCAGCCAGACTCTGCTGAGACAGCCAGAATCTCCCACCTCTCTCCCACCCTAGTGAGTGGCAGGTGCCAACACCTACCCACACCCAACAGCTCTCATGTTGAGTTCGGCCAGTCCTGGCCAGCTGGCTGCCTCTCTTCTGAGGCTGGCTCCCGAGTGGCCCGCAGGGGAGGGGGACAAGAGCCTCTCGCAGAGGCCACCTCCCACCCATCCACCCAAATACCCGGCGCCACTGGTGGGAAGTGACAGTCTCCTCCCCAGGACCAGCTTGTCCCAGGCAGAGCTGGGGCAGCCCCGGGGCCCTGCCCACACGAGCGCGCTCTCTCTCATGTCAAAAATCATGACACAGAGATGAGTTTCCCATCCAGGAGGTGGAAAAGCAGATGCTGAGACAGCAGGTAGAGTATTCTGCATATGCACACTGGCAAGAGATGCTCTACTCCAACCACCAGATTCATCCAGATTCAGCTCCATGGTAAATTCCATAGGATTTTTTTTCTCTCTTATTCATGCCTTTTGAAATGAACTTTTTTAGTACCTAAATATAAGGAAGAAAATTAAAATGGTTTGTAATCCCAACACTCCATAACCCTTGACACATTTTTTTGAGTGAGGGCAAATAAAAAATCATATATGGGCATATTTAAAAAATAAAACAGGAATTTGGATGCCAGTCCTGGGCCAATCTTCTGGTTCACTGGAAACATGGGGGAGGGGCAGAGGACAGGGAGAGCCCCAGGGAGGGAGTTCGCAGCACAGTCAGGAAGAGGGATGTGCTCCTTACCAGACAGAGCCATGCCAAAAAGCAGGGCTCTGACAACTCAATATACAGAAACAAACAGCCCAATTAAAAAGTGGGCCAAGGACTTGAATATACACAAAAGGTCAACAAGCAGGTAAAAAGGGGCTGAACATGTTAGCCAACGCGGAAATGCAAATCGAAACCACAGTGAGATACCACTCATCCCCACTAGGATGGCTAGAACAAGAAAAACAGACAAGGAGAATTGTTGATGAGGATGTGGAGAAATTGGAACACTGATATAATCAGGTGGGAATGTTAAGACGGTAGCACCACTGCAGAAGAATTTGGTGGTTTAGATGAAATTATGATCAGCAGGATAATACACCATCACCTCCCCAAGACATCTACATTCTAATTTAGACTGTGAAAACACTCCCTTCCATGGCAAAAGGACTTTGCAGATGGATTAAGTGAAGGACCCTGAGATGGGGATAGTCCTGGAAATCCTCAGGGGGCCCAGTGTCATCACAAGGGTCCTTATAAGAGGGAGAGAGATGAAGACTGGATGACAGAGCAATGGAGGCAGAGGCTGAAGTGATTCGAGGAAGGGGACCTGAGGAGTGGAAAACTGAAAAAACTCCAAGAAATCAAATATGCCCTGAAATCTTCAGAAGGAGCAGCCCTGCCAACACCTAAAGCCCCATAAAACTCACTCCAGACTCCTGACCCCAGAACTGTCAGGGAATGAATATGCGTTGTTTGCAGTCACTAGGTTTACAGTCACAGTGCAACAGCCGTGGGATGCGCATGCAGAATCACTTTTTCTGAAAAGTGGTTTGGGGTTTTCAATGCATTTGAAAATACCGAGTTCTAGTCCACACCTGGCCCTGATTAGCCATGTGGCCTGCATCTGAGGTCAACACGGAACATGGAATTCGAGGCAGCCTTTCTTAGACCACTGGGAGCAGCCAACGTGGCAGGGAGTGAACAGGACTGTTTGTCCTCCAACCTGTCACCCCCATGGGTGTGAGCTGGGAGGTGATTAGCTTGTTTCCTCTCTTCTTACCAGTGACCACCTTGGGATACCATAAATAAAGAGGCCACCACTTTATTTTTTTATTTATATTGATTTCAGAGAGGAAGGGAGAGGGAGAAAGAGGTAGAAACATCAATGATGAGAGAGAATCATTGATCGGCTGCCTCCTGCATGCCCCCTACTCGGGATCGAGCCTGCAACCTGGGCATGTGCCCTTGATTGGAATCAAACCCAGGACCCTTCAGTCCACAGGCCGACACTCTAGCCACTGAGCCAAACCAGTTAGGGCCAGAGGCCACCACCTTGAAACCCTCTGTCCTCTGTCCCTGGTTTATTAGAAAAGTATAGGAGAAGGTGGACAGCCTGGAGTTGACACCTAGAAGCAGCTGGGTAATGGGATTCTTTTAAATCCATTTAAAAAGAATCTTTCATTTTAAATACCCCCACCCCACCACCCCTGGCTGTGACTGGTCACCATCCTCTGCAGGTTGTGGGGTGGGGTGAATAGGGCCTCAGAAAGCCCAGAAACAGTATCCCACCTGATTCGAACGACAGAGCAGCCCGTCCTAGGCAACCCCAGAATCAATAAAAACTCTCAGTGGTTCTTGGGGCTTCGAGAGGACAAACATGGAGTATGCAGACTAGAAAAGAGACACCCAGCAGAGCCACTCCTAGAGGGTTCTAAGCTCCTCTGTCTAAAGGCAGGCAGACCCTGGAGACCCCAAGAACTCAGAATCACATGGGGCTACCTTCTCCCCACAGCATGCAGCCTCACAGGCACCTGGGAGGAGGCTGTGGCCTTTGGGACCTTGGTCTTGCACTTACTTGAAAGTTCCTGGTATATTACGATGGTGAGGCTGCAATGAGAGATGCTCTAGTAAATGGCTTGGATTCTGTCAGGTTCCTGCAATGGTGATGGTTCCTAAAATGCACAAAATAAAAGCATGATTAACTACATTTATCACATGCTTAAGTCTAAAATCCACATTACACTCCTAACAGTGGCATGTAGCCCAAGGACACTCTTGCCTTTATTCAGATGTATCCAAATCCTTGCCACTTTGCAGGAACACAACCGTTTTAAGCTCATCTTCCACAAATCAGCATCTGAGAAAGCAAGGATCTCCAGGAACAAATTAAACCAGAGAAGCTTTTAGAAACCTTAAGGTACAGGCAGTTTCTTGGAGGTTTACAATAAGTTCTGCCTCCTGTGAACTCCTGAAGCCAGGGAAAGCACCCTCCAAGGAGGACACTCACATGGACAATGCCGCACGGTGACCACCACCTGCACCCCCATAAGGTGCACACTGGGGGAGCCTGGCAGGGGCTGTGCAGACCCCACCAGGGCTGGGTCCCAACCTAGAAGCTAGCTGGGCAGAGACAGTCCAGTACCTGTGGAATGGATACAGCACAAGACTTTTAACTTGGGTTTGGCCCCAGGACCTTTGACAATCTGGGCTACAGTTACCCCCAATTCACCAGCCCTCCCACCCATATCTCCCCACAGCTCTCCAGACACATGAACCACAATGGCACAGGGTCTACCAGATGTTCCCTGCCTCTGGACCTTTGCACATGCTGTACGAGACCTGAGCATGAGGATGGGCCTGACATACCAGGAAGGGCAGCTTACCCCTTGAACTCAATCCCACACCCTTTCTCCAATTTACCAAGAGTTTTAAATAGCACGGATTTCACCAGCACTCTTATAACAGACAATGCACACTAACATTCTAAATCTTACTTTAAGCTGGTTTTTAAAAGTATCGGCACAACCCATTTTAGTGATTTCACTGTCTTTTAACAGGGCACAACCCCTGGTTGAAAGGCCACATGAGGCTGTAAATTTGTGGAGCTAGGGCTGCATACATCTTCCTCGGGACACAGTAGGCTGTCGCTGGCTCTCCCAAAAGCTCCTGGGCCTCTCCCACCTGCATAGCTGAAGGCCGCCCCACTCCACAGCCCTGCCAGCACCTGACATCAGCCAGAGCTGAAGTCAGAGGATCCAATTACTGTGAAATCTCTCCATGTAGCCGTAGCTGGCAGAATAACAGCTGCCAAGGATGTCTACCTCTGAATCCCCACAACATGTGGCAATGCTCCCTTCTGGGGCAACAGGCACTTTGCAGATGGGATTAAGTGAGGGATCTTGAGATGGGAAGAGTATCCTGAATTATCAGGTGGGCTCTGTCATCACAAGGGTCCTTATAAGAGGAAGGCAGGAGGGTCAGAGGAGATGTGATCACGGAAGCAGAGATCAGAATGACAGGCTATGAAGATGGAGGAAGGGGCCATAAGGCAAGGGGTGCAGGTGCCTCTTAGAACAGTGATGGCGAACCTTTTGAGTTCGGCGTGTCAGCATTTTGAAAAATCCTAACTTAACTCTGGTGCCATGTCACATATAGAAATTTTTTGATATTGGCAACCATAGTAAAACAAAGACTTATATTTTTGATATTTATTTTACATATTTAAATGCCATTTAACAAAGAAAAATCAACCAAAAAAATGAGTTCGCCTGTCACCTCTGACACGCGTGTCATAGGTTCGCCATCACTGCTCTAGAACAAGCATGTCAAACTCGCGGACAATGAATATTTTTGTGGCCCAGCCAATGTAATGGTATGTAAGAAATATTTTAATAAAAATTTTGTAACTTAATTTTTATAAGATCCTGTTATACATAATTATTAATAGCGAACTACAACATTCACTAATGACTGGTTACTATAATCGTGATGCAGTCATTTCCCTTACGCGCAGGCGCACCATTTCTCTCCACTAATACTAACAGCTTATATTTTAGCAGCCAATTGCCACATCGTTAGTCTTGGACTGACTTGTTTGGTGTGCACGCAACAGGAAATATTTCACTTTCAGAGAACAAGAAAACTAGGTTTATTTGCGTTACGCTTATTAATTTGTGCAGTTATTCAGTGTCTGGTAAGTTAATATTCAAGAAAAAATATTAAATTTTATTTAAATGTTCTATTATTTTATGTTAACAATTACTCATTTATTTCAGCCCTTTGTATTCAGCATGTCTCTACTGAAATAAACCTACGCTTCTATGAAAACTGAAGCTTTTGTTTTTTTTGCAGCTCACATACACTTACACCTTGTTTATTGGCCCGTGTTAGCCTTTGTGTTTGACATGCTTGCTCCAGAAGCTAGAAATGACAAAGAACTGAGCTCCCCTAGAGCCTCCAGAAGGAACCAGCCTTGACCACACCTTGATCTTGTCCCCGTGAGACCATGTCAGACTTCCAGCCTCCAGAACTGTGAGATAATAAATGTGTGTGTTTAAGTCACTAAGTCTGTGGTCATCTATCAGCTCAGCAAAGGAGACTAATGCTACAAGCGTCAATGTGTCTTTTCTTGATCACAGAGTAGGTGAGGGGTCTTTTCATTGTCACTGACCACACAGACCTCTGCTATGAGCTGCCAGCCCCTATCCCTCATCCGTGTCTCAATGGGATCAGGTGTCTCCCCCGTCACTTATAACTGTCTCTTAGCATGCTGTCTCCCTTCCTGGACATAGGCTGCCCCTACCAACACATGGTCTAAAAGGCAGAGAAGTCACTTGTGGTTCTCAGCTGGACAGACCCCAATCTGCTGCTGTCCATGGCTGCTGGGCCACCCAGACTGTGGGTTCTTCTGCTCTCATACTTTGGGGGCCAAAAGCACCAACCCCCAAGCCAGAAGGCTAGAAGCTCTAGGGCTGAGGTCAAGGCCCAGTTCTCAGGCCACAGGTTGAGGCGAGGCCTCTATCCACCCTGACCTATGTCTACAAGGAACCAAGTCCAGGCTCACCCACGTCCACTGCTCCTCTGAAGGCTCCCCTGCAGGCTCTGGGATGCAGAGGCCTGGCCTCAGACTGAGCCAGAGACTTGCTTGACACAAGGCAGCCAGGGCGGAGGGATCAGAGGACTCCTATGTGCGAACTGCATAGAGTGACTTACTTCCCAAATGGGGAGTGACTTTACAGTAGAGAAACCTGGCAATCACAATTCAGTCAGGGGATCAAGGTCAACATTAACAGTAATAAGTCAAAGTGACATATGACCCTTGACATGATAGGATGAAAAGGGCCCTTCACCTCTGGGGTCTTCCTCTCAGAACACATCACCTAGTCTAACCATGAGAAAAACACCAAACAAACCCCGATTTAGAAACTTGCCACAAAATCCTTGACCAATCCTCCTCAAAACTGCCAAAGTCACCAAAAACAAGAAAAATCTAAAAAAGCTGTCACAGCCGAGAGGAGTCTAAAGACATGTGATAACTAAATGTCATGTGAGATGCTGAATGGTATCCTGGGACAGAGAAAAGACATTAGGGAAAACTGAGGAAATCTGAATATAGTATGAACTTTAATTAATAAGAATATATTTATTAATTTTGACAAATATACCAGCCTAATATAACATGTTCATTAATAAGGAAACGAAGGGGAGGTTGTTTATGAGAACTCTATCTGCTTAATTTCTCTATAAATCTAAACTGTTTAAAAAATAAAGTCAAAGTAATTTTCAAAAAGAAAAACAAATCCAAAAGGCCCAAGCAGCCTGGGTCTCATGCCTCCTGCTGCCCAGGCTGGCCCAGCCTAGCTGCTGACCTCGCTGTGGGTCCTGGGAAATCTGGGGCGCTAAGAATAGAACTCAAGAGGGAGTCCGGTTGCAGCAGGTAAAAGCCAAGGCATCAAACACCAATGCCCCTAAAAAAACGCAGTCTGACCATTTCTCCTTTAAAATGGCGCAGTCTGACTACCAGATGACGTTGTTATTCTGATGTGCCCGCCCGAGCCCGCAGATGCTGACGAAAGCAGCAGGCACAATGGCTTACTTCTCCACCCCCTCTGCAAAGGGCAGGCAGTGGGACCGGAAAGGAAAAAAAAGCAGAAACCAAAGAGCTGGCGATACCTAAACACTGAGGCACCAGGAACTGCCACTGACAAGTGGCGTCGCTGGGACTCCACAGCTTGGCCACACACCCTAGGAAGACGTATCTGGGTCCCCAGCTCTCGGCTGCCCAAGGCTGACCCTTAGGGTGGGTCCAGGGGCTGAATCTACACCATGCCACACTACCCATTCCTGCCCTAGAGCTAGGCCTGAGGTCCAAGAGGCAGAAAGCTGACTGAGCATCCCATGGACCAGAGAAGGGAGCCATCACCTGTACACTCGGCTGACCTAGGAGGGCTCAGCTCCCTAATCTGCCTATAAGCCCATAAGCCCCAAGTGGCCCCCAAAAGGAGCACATGTATCCTGCTGCCTACTGAATCCTGGAGGTTCTCTGTGCCTCTCAGTGCAGGGAAGCCACTCAAAGCCTCAGAACGACCCACAACTTGAACACTCTATTGTCTGATCAGTATGAACTCATGGGTTTTTTAAAAAATATGTATCTACAGATAGATGGACACAGATATAAATACAGAGGGGCACAGAATCACAGGTTGATATTCACATCTCCAAGCTTTGTCAACTGACAGGCCTGGGAAGCCATGACACTCCCAGCACTGAGAGTATACTCGGTGGCCAGACGAGTTTTTAATACCATTCTACAACACAGGGAACATAGGCTCCTTGGAGAAGTGGTCAACCTGAGCATCTCGTGGGGGCAGGGAGGAAGGAAGCCCTCACTACAGGAGAAGGACATGAAGGAAGGACTTGGGAGCCAAACAGGAAGGAGAAGGGGCGCCCTACGACCAAAGCAAGGATCACTCGGGCAACATGATAAATAGTGATTGTGCAGGATTATAACCTGCAGATAAAATAAATATGCAAAGGTCTTTACTGGTATAAAATTTGAAAGGGGGAAGCCCTCTTCTACAAAAGAACTCTAATTCATAAATGGAGAAGGACTGAGGGTGATGCATGTCTCCATGAGAAGGCCAGAGTATACTGTTGCATGTAATTAATTGTTCTTGATCTAAAATCCACAGGCAGAAGTTTGAAGAGAAACGGGGTGTTGCATTCTCTCAAAATCCCAAAGGGAAAAAGTAACCTTCTAGTGCAGACTCCTGGATGGCACCACCTTACCCAAGGGATCAAAACTGACACCCCCAGTGATGGGACATTGATATGCTGCATGGAGAAGTACAAATACATAACCTCCATCTGATCA